GGACCAAAATCTCTGAGGAATGCTTCCAGCACCTTGTTGAATCTATGCCACGAAGAATTGAGGCAGTTCTGAAGGCAAAAGGGGGTCCAACCTGTTACTAGCGTGGTGTACCTAATAAAGTGGCCGGTGAGTGTATATATATATAAATAAACACACACACACACACACACAACGTTAATGTAATAGATATCTGCATCCATTGGATGTTGTGTTTGGAATCACCAGCTTTGTTTTAAGGTGGTAAAACAAATTGCTTCTATTTATTCCTTTGTACACACTTTGCAGATTATTTTTTCTGCACTCCACGTGTTTAATCTGCATGCTCCGGTGGGGTGACAATCATCCCATTTATGCTTTACTTTTTTTATTTTTATGTTTTGGAAAGAGAGTCTGACTGTCACCCTTTCCCACAGCACTTCCCCGTTGTACAAGGAGACAGCAAAGGCTGAGTTTTATAGTCGCGCTTTGGAACGCGCGCTAAGTGGGCGCGGAGTGCGCGCGCATTCGGCCATGCTGCGTCGCGCTATGACTGCAGAAGAAACAAGATCCAGACTCAGCGAGCTTTTGTGATTCCTGGAGCACTACGTCACCTGCACTGACTGTCGCCTCGCTGTGTCACCATGTGCTGCGGCTCGCGCTCCTCCCGCAGCAGGCAGTGTGGCCGGTCGGCATCCGACCGGAGGACGCGCCGTCACGTAAACATGTAAACAGTTCGGCGTTCATTTTCACACACCCGAACCAGGTCTGGATAAGTTATGTTTATTTCCCCCTCTTCATTTGCGCTCTCAGCCTCGCTGCTTCCCGCTTCCCCTGTTTTGACTCCAGCTGGTTACATCATCAAAAAGAATTGCGCGGTTGGCCGGTAGACAACAGATCTCTACCGTAGGACAAATTTATATCGTTTCTACCGTATATCGTTTATATCGCGCAATCCTAGTTTGGCATAATCGTATCGTGTGCAATTAATCGTCAGAAAAACAATCGATTATTTTATGGCACTTGACGATTAATACGATTAATGCCACCAGGCGGACTGACCGCTGGGTGCTCCTCTCTACTTCAAATATGATGAATATAAAAAAAAAGTTCTGTAATTTATTTATCAGCACAATTTAAAATTTGATGTACAGCCTGAAGTCTGTAATTTTGACAATTTGGAACAGATTTTTACTAAAAGCAAATCTTTCCCACTAAATTGGTCATGTGACTAGGACATAAGGGTGTCCAGGGACTCAAGGGGATTAATCTCCAAATTAATCGTTATCGGCTAAATACCACAATTAATAGTGATTAATTTTTTTTGCCAATATTGCCCAACCCTAACAATAAATTGCCTTTAGGTCAGATCATTGAGAGATTTAACATTCCTTATCATCTACTAACTAACGATATCCAACTCCATTTTTCTTCAAGGCTAATGAAACTCATTTACTACACAGGCTCATAAAGTGTATTTGCACTGTAAGGCTCGGCTTGCCCCCACTCAAGTCAATCTGACCTTACTCTACTCCAGCCCTGGTTATGTTTGGATTGAGCAGAGAGCCACCTCGATATGGGCAGGATCATAATATTAAACATGCATCATCTTATTTCATTTTATTTGCAACAAAACAATAGTTGCAAATAGTGAACCAATTAATGAGAAGCTGTAGCTGATGTCAAACTGGGCCGAGTAGCCCGGCCCGATTGGAACCCCAGCTTTCGAGGTTCAAGAAATCAGGGTGGACTTGAGTCATAAGGGGTAATACAAAAATGCAGAACCCGGGTTTGAATCTAGGCCATGCAGTATAGTCTTTATATAGTCCTATAGTCTTTCTGGATGCTATGGAGTTAAATGCCAACAAGACAGAGATGATGATTGTTGCTCCTAACAGGGTGGACCTTTTGATTGGGCAAACTCTTAGGCAACTCATCTGCTGTCCACTCTAATGTGAGAAATAAACAGCTGACAAGATCCTGTTTTTCCCATTTAAGAAACATCAGCTGAGAGCTCGGCTCAGCGGAATTGTCCACACTATTTGTCTGATTGGATTCGCCACATTGGATGTACCAGCGGACATTAAGGCAGATGAAAAATTGCTATTGCCTACCTGACCGAAAACATTTTCTTCTGTTCCCAAACAACTGATTACAGATTAAGCTCTCCCCCACGTTGACCTTGAGAAGGCTGTGGAACTAAATCCCTCCTGGTGCTTACGTCGACATGCCCCCCCCCCCACCTCTCCCCTCTCTCACTCCCATCTAATCTTATTCCTTGAAGGACAAGCTGAAGCTGCACAGAATGAACAATTCAACACCAATATTCTGAACAATGGCTGAACTATGGGATTTAACTTTTGGGGGGCTGCGTTCTTCGGACTCATTCAGATATTCACACTAGGGTTGGGCAATATTGGCAAAAAAAAAATTAATCACGATTAACTGGGGTATTTAGCCGATAACGATTAATTTGACGATTAATGACCTGGAGTCCCTGGACACCTTTATGTCCTGGTCACATGACCAATGTAGTGGGAAAGATTTGCTCTTCATAAAAATCTGTTCCAAATTGTGTCAAAATTACAGACTTCAAGCTGCACATCAAATTTTAAATTGTGTTGATAGATAAATAAATTACATAACCTTTTTTTTAATGTTCATCATATTTGAAGGGAAGAGGAACATCGAGCGGACTCTGCCTGGTGGCATTAATCATCTTAACCGTCAAGTCCCAAAAGGTAATCGATTAATGTTTTTCTGACGAATAACTGCACACGATACGATTATGCTCAACTCTAATTCACACAAGTGCATACAACACTCATGGCTTCAGATACACGCCCTCTAAACTCACTTACTCCTCTGGCTAATAAATGTGCTCTTGCTAGTAGAGTTTTTTTTATAAGCACCATAGTGTTTCATATTTCATTGATATAATATGTTTTTTCCCCTCATCTAACCTTCTGTGGTTTTTTGGTTTTCTTTTAAAAGGTAGCGTGACCGCTGCTGATTGCTGCATGACCTTTAAACCTGTTCCCCCCCATGTTTTTGTCATGCGTTTCTTCTTCAATGGGTGTTCTTAAATGTAATTTCATTGTGCTCTGTACAATGACAATAAAGGCATCATCATCATAATGATCATCATCAACAGTAAGTTGAGCCTAGTCCTTCCAGATGCAGAGACATGCTTATTCAGGCCTTCAGATCATCTTGAATTGATTCTGTAATGCACTTTTTTTCCACTCAGCCGCTCTACTTTGAATCGTTTGCAGGCTGTTCAAAAAGCTGCACCTAGACTGCTTACCAGGTGAAACAGAAGCTACTCCCATTACGTTTATTCCATCGGCTCCTTGTGGAGTCTAGGATCCAGTTTAAAATTCTTACCATCACTTATAGAGCATTGCACGGCCAGGCTTTCACTGCAGCAGATCTACTTCACTCATATGTATCTACACATATGCTTAAGTCCAGTAACTTCAATCTGCTACTTGTTTCTTGGTCCCAACTAAAGATATGGGGATAGAGCATTTCAGGTTGTAGCTCCTAAATTAATGAACGTACTACCTCAAACTCTAAAAGCTGTGGATTCAGTGGAGATTTTTAAAAAGCAGCTAAAAACTCACTTTAAGCAGGCTTTTAAACGTGGCTTTGTAAGTTTTAATATTGTCTTATTCAAGCTTTATTGTTTGCCAGTGTGTTTTTTTCTCTCGTGTGCTATTCTTTATTGTGAAGCACTTTGTGGCTACTTGACTGTGAAAAGTGCTTCACAAATAAAGTTTACTTGATTACAGTTAGAGTGATTAAAACTACAACAACCACCAGTAGAGATGTTTTATTTAATCACAAACCACAGAGATGAATCGGTGTTAATTTTGCTCTGTTGAAGTGTTAAACTCACTCTCTGATTTTCTTCTCCGAGCCATCTCGTCCCGGGTCATACACGCCCTTCGGGAGGTGCTGGATGAGTCCGATACGTTGAGCGATGCGGACCTGCTCCTCTTCTGTCAGCTGAGTGGCCAGTCGGGCTTGGCTGGGTGTTGGGTGGTAGATGGGCACGTGGATCTGTTCCTGCAAATGGAGGGGCTTGATGAAAATGCATCCAACAATGACACACTGTGCAAATAGCTGGTTGGTAAAACATTTTAATTACATACAGTCACAAACACCTTTTAACTAAATAAAATATTGTTAAGCATTAAGTATGGGGAATATTTATATGTTTTACATTTATTTAAAAAAAACAATGCAGATGATCAAACAAATACCATCTGCAGTTATAAAATAAGGATGATTTCAGGCAGTAGGTGGTAGTGTTTCCTCAGCCTGTTCCAACAACCATTGCAACACATTAACCTGACTTCATTTCTTCTCAAAATGCATGGAAAGGTTAAACAAATTGTTTTTTTCCGTCTTTCCTAATATGAAGAGCAGGCAGGCTGATGGGTCAGCCAACTGCTCACAATATGACAGAAGAAGAGCAAGGTTTTGTCATACAGGGTATTTTTTTAATCAAACGTCTGTGTTGCAACTCCTTCCAGTGCCTGAAAATCCTTAAGAGGAAAGCTTAAACCATCTCAGCTGACACTGTTAATGCAGCTCCCACCAGATGACGGACCTCCTCCCTGTATCCCTAAAGACAGAGTTTAAATTAGAGGAGAGAAGTGAGAATTTGATTCCCTTAATTAGGACTTCAACTCTCCCTAAAATAACAAAACAGGAAAAAAAACTATATTTCCCAGGTGTTTGCTGTAGACCATTAGAACCAGTTTTTTTTAGTCTGAAACTTTGGTCTTATATTGACAAGATGTGTCACAAAAAAGGACTATAACTGCTGCAGCTGGAGATTTTGAATATTTAAATATAAAAATATTTTGCTTTTATTTCATTAATTTATTCCTGGTTTAGTTATTTATTTATTTTTACAATTTTTTTTTTAAAATATCTTAAGTGATGGGCACGTTGTGTTGATCAAATAACACAAATTCACAACAAATAACACTTACTTCCAGACTGTCGGGTAACTGATTACAAAAATTGTGACGTCTGTTTTTGCAAAAACCTGATAAAGATCAACAACAGTGTTTGTAATCATGTTGTTAATGGTGACCTTGGGAGAATCCCCCTTAGTGTATGTCGTATGAAGCGATGCATACTCCATTGGATGAAGCGTATTAATATGGATGTTTCTAGATATCCACACAAGTGTTACAAAATGTTCTTGGAACATTGGAGCCATTGGTAAAAAGACAGAGTTGGTCAAGCTCATAGTCTAGCCATTGAAAGTGGCAGGTGGTCTCACACACTTAGAGACAAGCGGTTGTGTTTATACCGCAAACATGATCTTGAAATAGAAGCCGTCAAAGACTAACTGCGTGCGTTCCATCCATCCATCCATCCATCCATCCATCCATCCATCCATCCAGAATAATGGTACTTTTACCACTTGGATAAAAAGAGAGGAAAAAAATCTACCTCCTACTAAGTGCTCAAAGGCTTCCATCTACATTCTTTCAATTTTTCTGATGGATTTGTTTGGTTAATGCAAACTAGAAACAGTAATTGAATGTTACTTTCAAAGTCTGACATGTGACAGGTTTCAGTGACATAACGTCCGAATCAAATCTCAACTTTTAATAAGAAAAGAATCTACCACCATTTTGAGAGATCTCTCCATTTATTTATAGTATATATAGTACNCACACACACTGATGGATTAAGACAGGAAGACACAGACACTTACAAACAAGCTGTTAGTTTTACCCCATGTGTGAGGATGTCAGTTCACAGGCTGCAAATGGAAAAAAAGCTCATTATTTCAAGCATCTTATTAGTATCAGAGTTAGCATTGTTGTTGTCAGGTTGTTTACCCGCAAACTGAAATGCTTCATCTTAAACCAGCCCTTTTTGACAGCCTTTAAACAGACAGCAGAGAAAATGTAATGTGAACGTTCTTAAATTCTGCACTTTTTTATTTTATTTATTTATTTTTCCCCCTCCAGCTGTTTCATACTAAAGGCCTGAGGGGGATTTTTCTGTCTGAGACTCTAAAAAGAGTTAAATGTCTCYGAAGGAGGTGAGGCATTTGCCTGACAGTTACGTTATAGCAACAAGTTTTCATTCACTCTTCGAAATGCTAACCAAAAAATGGCTGATAYTGATGCAGCCGACAGTCCGCCTGCACCCCGCCCGCATTAATATGGATTTTTTGTGAAAATTACAGATTTTTGAAGCTCATTTTACAGGTAAACGTCCAAAGGGGTTAACATGTATGTGACATGCAAACAGATTGTCTGAGTGGAGCTAAAACCAAAGAGGACTTTTGACGTCTTTGCTTGGATAAAGAACAAAACAAATAAAACTCTTTTTATTTTTCACCTTAAAAATGTATCCTTGGATTTGCATCAATCTGATGTTTTTACCAATAGCTCGTCAATTTGGTAAAAAAAAGAAAAAAATATATATATTACTTTATATATAGTATATATAGTACTTTATATATCCAAAGTTACTTTGTAACAGTCCTCCATTAGACATGCAAGCATCATTTTTACACACAAAGATGCAAAATATAGTATATATAGTACTTTATTGATCCAAAGTTACTTTGTAACAGTCCTCCATTAGACATGCAAGCATCATTTTTACACACAAAGATGCAAAATATAAAATGAAAAGTTGAAAAGTAATTACAATTTTTCTTTTGCATTGACACATTTTTTTAAAACTGCTCCTATTTTATAATATAATGGTGTTTTGTGAAAACTGTTTTCTTTTTTAAACTACAATGTTAGCTGATTAATCTGGAACAGTTGGGTTATTTTTATTATTTTTTGCTATACATATTTCTGTGATTATGAAGCTTTCGTATTAGAGCAGGCCCTCTCTGTACACTTTAAACCACTTTTTATTCACTCAACTGTCTCACTTTGCGGGTTGAACATCTTCCTTTCAGCACCCCCCTCCCCCTCCCTGTCCACAAACATTGCTGCACACCGAGTAGCTACAGTCACTTGGGGTTTGTGCACCGTTTCCTCTTCCTCTTTTTCTCCTGATTTTACAAGGTGCCAAACCTAAATGTCAAGATGAAAAAAATACAACAGTTACACAACAGAAAAAAATCCACTCTAATGACATCAATGGAGCTCTTCCACTGGCTTCACATACTTTTGTAGTTTGATAGCAGAGATAGGATCAATCAGCTGCGCAATTTTTTTTATTTAAAAAATTGATTCAAGGATGTCAACAATGGAAGATGTGTCCATCCAGCCTTACATGTTGGAACCAGAGTCTGACCCTGAGCCAGAGGAGAATGAAGAAGAACCTGCAGAACTGTGGATTTGCGAAATAGATTAGTCGGAAGTCCACGACCTTGTTTAGCAGTTATGCAGCAAAAACTGTGAAGTTATTGCACCTCTTTAATGACACTGATGGGTTTAGTTCTGTTTATTAAAACCGGAACCAAGAACTGGTTAACATCAATTAATAATCTAATAAAATACTCATTTTCATTTTACTCACTATGTTCCAAGTCACATATAGATAATTAATTCAACAATATGGCACTAACGTAGCAAAATACAGTAGGTCTAAATGAGCAGGTCAATTAGACAAGTGCTAAATGTAGCTTTATAAACTCAGTCATAGAGGCTGTAAATATACAGGAAATAAATTCAGTTAGCTTAACAAGCACAATCCAACTTTTAGTTCATACATCTGAGCTGAATCGTTTTCAGGAGACAAATATATGAATATGCCAGCTAGCAGCGAGGCTTTCACTAGCACAGCATTCAAACTCACGAGTCAGCATTTCTTAAATAGCTGCTTGTCTGCAACTTTGTTCGTTGATGTAAACTAATAAAAATAAAAAGGGCCAGGGTTTGACAAGAATAAAAGCTACAGACGGGGCCTCAGGGGAGGACGGGGAGGTGGTGGGGGGGCACAACAGCTGAGCAGTTGGGTGCTCAGCTGTGCAGGGGTCAGCAGTTTTACTGTTGTCACGTCTCTCCCATTTAATTTACAAGAGGTCAGCTGGGCTGTGACGACTGGTAATTAAGTGACCTCGAGGTGAGAAGGACAAGAGTCACGGCAGGGAAGGGGTGAGGGCAGGACATGTGGGGGAGGGAGGGACGGCGGGCTCTGGTTTCCTCTGCAGACCGTCGGGCCGAGCGCATTGCATTAGGATCTGTCAGCCTGCGAGAAAGGAAAGCAGACGCGCGCACAGTTAGTGAAAAGAAAAACAAGCTGAGAAGGGAGGCATTTACTCTGCCTCCTCTATCATCCATCACTATAGCCAAAAGAAAGCCAAAGCACAGGAGAGGAGTGGGTAGTGACAGCTGGAGGCAGCTGCGGGAGCTCACGCAGACGTTTCAGCTAAAACAGCATCGACAGAAATATCCTTGCCAGAAATGTTTACTTGCACAAACCTTTAACCAAGGACAAGAAAAGAAAACGGATTCCAAGTAAACACAAATGTCTGTCAATGCCACCAGTTTAACAAAAAAAAAGTTTTTGTGTGTATATGAACATGATAATGACTCAACACCATCTACTCTACACAGATCACAAGTTTCAACAAAATGAAAGTAAAGCACCCACACAAACCGTCTGATCTGTTGGCTCTGTTTTTATTATTGCTTTACAGGAATAGGATAACTACATCTTCAATGTGGCGATGTTACGCACTGTTCAGACTTATTTTATGGAAGTGAAAGTGCCTATATCATTAAATTATGATGTGCATAAACAATGATGAAATGTGTGCTCTATATTTGACCTGGCGCAGTTGGAGAATACAGTAGGTGTTTGGCTCAAAGGCACAGTGGCATATGGACATGGAGGGGAATCAACAGAGCACTTTTATCAAACTGATACAAATCCAAACTGAAAAAACATTTCATTCACTAGTGTGCACAGCGTTAGCATGCTCTGACATCTCTTTTCTTTACGAAGAGAGAACCTCTGAACAAGATTTTGAGAAATCTAATTTCATTTACGTTTTTAGCAGCTATGAGTTAATAACACCCAAGCAGTTTGAGCCAAAACAAAAAAAAAAAAAGCAAGAACTGCAA